TATAGATGGGGCTATGGGCTAGAGGGGCAGCTGCCCTGGAGGAGAGGGCTAAGAGTAACCCAGTAACTGACATCAGCAACCCACTGTAGAGGAACATCCATTAGCACAACTGGACAAGAGGAAAGAACAGGAATGCCAAGAAAGGAGGTTATCTGCTCTACCTGGAAGGGAGAATCTATTAATCAATCAGAAGGCAGAACATCAGAATAGGGTCAAATAAAAAGCTAAGGAAACTCCTCTGGAGATCTTTTGGAATAAGAAACTTCCCTAAGATCACCTGTTAGCCTGGCGTGGTGGCTCACGCCTGTAATCCCAGCACTTTGGGAGGCCGAGACAGGCGGATCACCTGAGGTCGGGAATTCGAGATCAGCCTGACCAATGTGGAGAAACCCCATCTCTACTAAAAATACAAAATGAGCCGGGTGTGGTGGCGCATGCCTGTAATCCCAGCTACTCGGGAGACTGAGGCAGGAGAATCGCTTGAACCCCGGGAGGCAGAGGTTGCAGTGAGCCGAGATCATGCCATTGCACTCCAGCCTGGGCAACAAGAGCAAAACTCCATCAAAAAAAAAAAAAAAAAAAAAAAATCCAGGTACTCTCCCAGGATAGCAAGCAACTAGGAAGAATGCACATCTGTGGCTTCAGATTTCTAGCCCCCAGAAGAAAGGCTACCTGTCATTAGACTCTCCCTCTCCAGTACCAAATAAGATCTGTTTACTGGTCCCTTCCCACACCCACTAAATGGGAAAAATGGTCATGAACTATAGAAAAAGGATGGACATTTGATACCAGGAGGTTAGCAGCTCTCTAAAGATTCAGACTGGAAGTTACAAAGACATACAGGTAAGTCACCAAGACCTTCCCCTTGTTGGAGACATTTAGTAACAGAGAAAAATACTCTGAGAGAGAAACATAACCCTGTTTGGGGTTGATGGGTAGGGGAAGCAGCACACCTACCAGCAAGCAAGAAACGTGGGGGTAGACACAGGACGCTGGTGACCTGTCCCGTCTGAGCATCGGAGATGGCGGAAGCAGGCTTGCAGGCCTCTACTTCTGGTGTCTCACACAGTGTTTGGACAGGTGGGATTTCCCATTGAACCTGGAAAGGAAGTGAAGAAGCTGATTAGAGGTAGTGAGAAGAGACAGAATGCCCTATCTTGACTGAGAAGAAAGGGATAGAAAATAGCTTTTTGGTGCTTGCTTTGGCAGCACATCTACTTTAAAAATTGGAATGAGGCCGGGCGCGGTGGCTCAAGCCTGTAATCCCAGCACTTTGGGAGGCCGAGGAAAGGCAGGCACACCTACAGGCAAGCAAGAAACGTTGGGTAGACACAGGACGCTGGTGACCTGTCCCGTCTGAGCATCGGAGATGGCGGGAAGCAGGCTTGCAGGCCTCTACTTTCTGGTTCTCACACAGTGTTTGGACAAGTGGGATTTCCCATTGAACCTGGAAAGGAAGTGAAGGAGCTGATTAGAGGTAGTGAGAAGAGACAGAATGCCCCATCTTGACTTGAGAAGAAAGGGATAGAAAATAGGCTTTTTGGTGCTTGCTTTGGCAGCACATCTACTTTAAAAATTGGAATGAGGGCCGGCGCGGTGGCTCAAGCCTGTAATCCCAGCACTTTGGGAGGCCGAGACGGGGTGGATCACCGAGGTCAGGAGATCGAGACCATCCTGGCTAACACGGTGAAACCCCATCTCTACTAAAAAATACAAAAAAACTAGCCGGCGAGGTGGCGGGCGGCCTGTAATCCCAGCTACTCAGGAGGCTGAGGCAGGAGAATGGCGTAAACCCAGGAGGTGAGGGCTTGCAGTGAGCTGAGATCCGGCCATTGCACCCCCAGCCTGCGACAGAAGCAAGACTCCGTCTCAAAAAAAAAAAAAAAAAAAAAAAGAAAAAAAAAATTGGAATTGATACAGAGAAGATTTAGCATGGTGTTCCCTGTGCAAGGATGGAACGCAAATATTGTAAAGTGTTCCATAAAAAAGGAGGAGGCGAGGAGGAGGGAAGGAAGGAGGATAGCGAGAGACGGGGAGGAGGAGAAGGAAGAAGGAAGGATAGGAAAGGAGGAAGGAACGGAAGAAAAAAAAAAATCCTGTTAATCCCAGGACTTTGGGAGGCTGAGGTGAACAGAGAGACACCTGGAGGTCAGAGTCAAGCCAGCCTGGTCAACATGGTGAACACCCCATTCGCCCTACGTAAAAATACCAACAATGTAGCCAGGTGCAGTGGGCGGGGCCACCTGTAATCCAGCTGCCTTCAGAAGCTGAGACAGAAGAATCGGCCTTGGAACCTGGGAGGCAGAGGTTGTAGTGAGCGGAGATCGTGGCCATTCTTTCAACTCCAGCCTGGGCAAACAGACCAAGATGCTCAGTCTCGTTGAAAAAAAAAAAAGCTTTTTGGGCTAGCGTGCGCTCATGTCTATAATCTCTGCACGTTTTAGTGCTGAGGCAGACTGCGCTTGAGCTCCAAGGAGTTTTCAGGACGAAGTCTGGACTACATGGTGTGAAACCTCTTTCTCTACTAAAAAATACAAAAAATTACCCAGGCCATCGAGTAGCACACCGCTTCTAGTCCCAGGCTACCTCAGTGGGACTGAGGTGGGAGAAAAGTTCACACCTGAGGGTGCGAGTCGGAAAGCTATGATAATGCGCCAATTGCCACTTACAGTCCTGGGGCAAACCAGGAGGTAAGACCCCTGCCAGGGTGTGTATATGAGGATGCGGGCTATGGGCTAAGAGGGGCACCTGCCCTGGAGGAGCATGGGCTAAGAGTACACCAGTAACTGACACAGCACCACGTGTGTAGGAGGAACTCCGATTAGCACAACTGGGCAAGAGGAAAGAACAGGAATGCAAGAAAGGGAGGGTATTGCTCTAACCTGGAAGGGAGATCTATTTAATCAATCAGAAGGCAGAACAATCAGGAATAGGGTAATAAAAGCTAAGGAAACTCTTCTGGAAGATCTTTGGGAATTAAGAAAACTTTCCCCCTAGATCACCTGTAGGGCCTGCGTGGGTGGCTCCACGCCTGTATCCCAGCACTTTGGCGGAGCCGAGGACAGGCGGATCACTTGGAGGTCAGGGATTCGGAGATCCAGCCTGGGACAATGTGGGAGTGAAAACCCCCATCTCTACTAAAAATACAAAATGAGCCGGCCCTGGGGGTTTGGTTGGCGCATGGCTGTAAATCCCCAGCTTTACTCGGGAGACTGAGGGCCTAGGAGAATCGCCATTGAACGCGGGAGGCAGAGGTGCAAGTGAGGCCGGATCATTGCCCATTGGCCAGCTCCAGCCTGGGGCAACCAAGAGCGAAACTCCAC